TATCCTCTTGATTACTTACGAGGACAGCTATATCATCGGCATATGCTAGGATTTTATGTTTCATTCCAACATGCACCCCTCCATCTTTGCGTGATGTTATTGTTATTACTTTCTCTAGTGCTCTGTTGAACAGCATCGGCGAGAGTACATCTCTCTGCCTCAAACCCGTTCGAACTTCAAAGGCTTCAGATACGTCTCCTTGTATTAGTACCCTGCATTTAGAATCATTTGTACACGCCTTCGTCAACCTCACTAATTTCCTGGGAACACCCAGCTCAGTCATGATCTTCCAGAGACAGTTTCTGTCCATGGAGTCATAGGCTGCTTTGAAGTCGACAAATAATGCGTGCTCGTCCTGATCTACTTCCCATCGTTTTTCAAGTACTTGTTTCAGGATGAATATCTGATCTAGCGTACTCCTCCCTCTCCTTAATCCTGATTGATGGTCGCCTATTATGTTTTCATAATACGGATATATCCGATTTAACAGAATATTAGTCATTATTTTATAGGCGACCGGAAGAAGTGCTATGCCTCTGTAATTGCCACATTCATACATGGAGCCCTTCTTAAGGATAGGACAGATCAACCCTGTGTTCCATGCTTCTGGTATCCGTTCCTTCTCCCATATCTTCTGGATTAGATCTAACAGCTTGGCTCTGAGTTCTTCTCCCCCATCCTTGAACAATTCTGATGGTAGGTTGTCCATCCCTGGAGCCTTTTTTCTTTTAAGCATGCCAATAGCTATTTCCACTTCCAGAATATCTGGTTTTTCAACCTCAAGTGGGTCGAAGTCCTCAATGTGGTCCATGTCTTCTTCGTTTGTGGGGTGCCCTTGGTTAAGCAGCTGCTGGAAATGTTCCTTCCAGATGCTTAGGATCTTTTCTTTTGATGCCGTCAATTTGCCATCTTTCCCTCGCATTTGTGTATTTCTCGCTTTATATCCTACCCTTTCTTTCTTGATATCTGCGAAGAATTTGCATATATTTCCAGCCTGCCAGTTTTCCTCAATAGTTTGTAATATTTCTTTGAGGGATTCTCTTTTGGCTGTTCTTATTATTTTGTTTGTCTTTTTCCTGGCGGCTGTATATTTGTCCTGCATAGCTTGATCAGTTTGTAAGCAGAGGATTTTTTTTCTTACTTTTCTGCTTTCCTCCACCGCCTTTTTGCGTGCTTCTGTGAACCATTTCTTGGCTTTTCTTTTTTCCTGAATCCCTATTACTTACTTAGCTGTTTGTTTTAGCCCTGACTCTAGTGCCTCCCAGTGTTGGTCCACTGTGAGACCTTCCGAGTTCTAGGGTTCAAATTTATTTTTCAGCTCAATTTGGAATTCAGTTTGTACCATAGGGTTTTTCAAATTACGGACTTCGTACCTTTCTCTTTCCAATTGGTTCCCAATATGGTGGATTCGCTTCAGCCTCTGACAGAGTATATATATATATATATATTCTGCTTCTTTTAACAGAGTCCGAGCGAGTCTCTCAATATCCTCTTGATTACTTACGAGGACAGCTATATCATCGGTGCATATATATATATATATATATATATATATATATATATATATATATATATTATATATATATATATATATATGCAAGGTGAACCAAAAAAAAATAGGAATTTCATCATAGCTTTTTTATTTCTTAATATTTTTACACCATATTTTGATCACCTTCAAAGTATTCTCCCTTGACCACAACGCACCTCTCCAAATGACCCTTCTATTGTTAAAAACAACATTTAATTCACTCATCAGGGTGTTCTTTAGGCCTTCCAGATATTTTAATTTATCTTCTTTGAGCTGATTTCGAAGCTCAAATCATGCCTGAAGTCGACGCTCCCTTTGCTTGCCTGTGAGTTTTGGATTCCCCCTTGTATATATGATTGGCTTCATATCAAAGGCAGTCATCTGTCACCAAAAACGAAATTGAGTTATTAGTTGATTCTTATAGCATTTTTCTCGCTCTTATAAATGGTGAAGTCAGTTTACATAAAAAAAAAATCTGGTGTGGTACGCGCATCATACAACTTTCACTCTGACCTCTTCTTAGCAGAAATAAGTATTTTCAGACAAAGGGGAAATGAAAGTAAAAATTATAAACGCTATATTGATTTATTTTTTATTTGTTTAAGTACCCTTATATATACAAATTTTAATATTTATATCGCTATAATCTATACAATTAAATATTAAATAATACCAACAAAAACATTCAGGAAAACTGTATATGTATATGTGCATAATATTGTCGGAGTCCGTATTATATTCTCATGTTATTATGCAAGTCAGTTCTAATCTTCGGGCGCTCTCGTGTATCCCTTTGGTTCCTTCATTATAAATATTCTCTGTTACGATCTCTTATTTCTCCTTTAGTTAATTCTACATTTTTTTCTAAACCCAACAGGAAGCAAACTATCGAGCTTTCAAAATTTCCTCATTTTGATTTATTCACAATAGTGCTCTTTCAGTTTTGAATGGAAGAATTCTGTAACTCCCTTTTGAATCTGATCCAGAGAATTCGGAGATTCTTGAAGATAGTGAGCCATTGACTGGAACAGTAGTCTGTAGTCGGGAGATGTTTTGAAAAGTATGTTACATGGTGGGCCAGACCCCCCTACCATGCATCCTCCCCCCACATTGTGTTCCTTGTAACAATTTATTAAAAAAAAGCCAATGTTCTCATAAAAAAATGTGGCCACAATGACCCAAAATGCCGTTCAAACATGGCAGATTGACATCTTTGACTTGAGTTAGTTTTTTGGTCACTGAGATTCGGCATTTGGCTTAATTACGTCATAATTGGCCCTTTATTAAAGCTGTGTATTTAGAGAATAATAAAACATTAAAAAATAATTGGCCTTAGTGATAAAAAAATCTCCGTAAAGTCATGTTTTTCAATTTGTTCAAAGTAAAGTTGAAAATCAAGTATCGCTTGTAAATAAACCACCAACAATAATGAAAAATGCCCTGAAGTAAAACATATGGAGAATGCATTTTTCATTCTAAAACACTGATTACTTTTTAAAATATTTGAAGCAGTTACTTAGAAAATAAACTTAATTGGCGGAAAAGTGGCTTTGGCATAGGTGTCTAGAGTTAAGACAATAATGCAAAAAATTCAAGTAATATACAAAACAATCAAGGTATTATAAAAATAATAAATGAAATCCTAACATATTTATGTCCACTCATTAATATAATTAAGGAAGAAGTGAACAATTGACACTTCCCTATAAGGGTTTTAATACTGGCTGAGTGTTTGCTCTTTTCAATTATATGTTACTTAACTCTTCTTCAACCAATCAAACAGTTTTTCAATCTAATGAGGCATACACTGATATTATCAGATCCTAAAGAAAATGTTTCAATCATGTGGGAGCACTACTTACATTCCTACATTCCTAACTATATTCTAAACTTATTGTCAGCATTTCAAACTCCTAGCGATTGGTCCCTTGGAGTTTGATTGAATTAAACACACTTGCCACTTAACTACCTATGCCAATACATCATATCTGTCTGATAGACAAGTATCTTAGCAGGCTGTATATAATAATATACAAAACACAATGCTCCAAAAGGTTTCATTTAGTTAAGAAGTTATATTTTTCAAACATTAGATAAGTTATGCAGCACCTTGAGCCCGAAAGATTTATAACAGATTTAAATATATATTTAAAGATTTAATTATATTGTTATGTATACATCTAAATTATTCACATTTGGTTATTTTAGTTATTAAATTGTCTTAACCCTCAAACCAATTAATATAAATTATCTAACCAGTTATTCCCAGCCATTTCCATTGCTATCTACTTATATTATGTATATCTATTTTTTCATTGTATTGTCTGCCAAATATAATTTTTCTGAATCCTGTCAGAATGAGATATTTAGCGAAAAACTGTTATCTTCATTTATTTTCACATTCCACACTTGTGCAGGACGCCCCTTAACGTCAAGAAGTGACAAAATCAATGCTCTCGTTGGTGAAGATTGTCGCTGAACCATTGATCAACTGTGTGAGATGTCAGCTCAAAGAGGACTCTGAATTTTTTCCAAGGTGATGAATAGCTGTGCTGTGGATACGACCCCGAAACAACAGTCAAGCCAGAGCAAGACAGCTGGCTCTCCTAGTCCCACAAAAGCTCGCCAAATGAAGTCAAACATCAAGGCAATGCTCATTTATTTCTTCAATTGCAGAGGTTTTATCCATGTGGAATTCGTTCCTCGGGGTCAAACTGTCAACCAGAAGTTCTACTTGGAGGTTTTGAAAAGATTGAGGAAGAGAATCCGGAAGAAAAGGGCAAATCTTTGGAGCTCAGGCGACTGGTTCTCCCACCATGACAACGCGCCGGCCCACACCGCCCTCTCGGTAAAGTAGTTTTTGACCAAAAACGGCCTGATACCGATTGTCCAGCTCCCTTACTCACCAGGTCTAGCCCCCAGTCAGTGATTTCTCTTTGTTCTCCAGATTCAAATGGCACACGAGAGAAAAGCGTTTGGCACTGTGGAGGAGGTAAAATAAAATTCGCTGGAAGGCCTAAAGAACATCCCGATGAGTGAATTGAAAATTTTTTTTTGGCCAATGGAAGGATGGTTGGAGAGGTATGTTATGGTCAAGGGAAAATACTTTGAAGACGATCAAAATTTGGTGTAAAAATATTTAGAAATAAAGAAGTTAATTTAAGAAGATGAAATTCCGTTTTTTTTTTTTTTTTGTCTCTCCTCGTATGCTTGTCCTTTCATTTCTTTCTTATTTCTCTTTCACCTTTTATTCCTGTCTGCATGTTATTTGTCCTTCAATATTTGTTGTCCTAAATCAAAATCATAGCTCTGCATTGCTTTTAAAGCCTTGGCTCGCTCTGGTTAATGATTTAATTTTTAGCATTAAACTTAGTATAATGAATTTATATTTTAAATATTTTTTGGAATTTGAATTAACTTAAGTATCCTATAAGGCAGTTACATTATTTCTTTTTGTTTTATTTTGCAGTGCCCTGATCATGGAATAAACAGACTTATTGAAAGAATTTTATTGTTTCGTCATGATTATAATGTCCCAAATATTTTACAAATTGTAAACTCAGCATCAGACATTGTTGATGAGACTCTCGTTGAAATAGTACTTACTGGTAAGTTTTTTATTTTAGATGAAAAAATCTTTATTTTTCATAATTTTATTTTATTCTTTTTTTAAATGTGGCATGATCATTATGAGCCAGATAGCTTTAAACATCATTCTGATGAACCAATAAAGAAAATTGAAGTTTATAAGGGTTTAATATTTCCTTGAAATTAAGAAATATTATTTTAAAAAATAATAAGAGCCTTACAAGAAATCGTAACATACTAAACATGATAGAATTAAAAAAAAAAAAATGTTTTTGTTCAGAATATGCATTGTAGTGTAATTTAAAATGTTTAATTCACATAAAAAATATATTGATGTTTATGAATATTATGATTATCTGTTTTACTGCTTTATTTGAAATATAAATGATCTTTTAAAATTATTCATCATAATTAAATATTTGTAATTAGCTTATTACTTTACTAAAGTTGTTTGTTAAAAATCTTTGTTGAATAACTTTTATAGTATAAGAATAATCTTTAACTGACTTATAACCTAGTTATTGATGCTCTGTGTAAAGTTAAGGATATGGATGTATTATTTTTGCTATTGTAGAGTAAATTAAATCATAATAACCTATGTTGATTTTCTAAATTTCTTCAAACCTTGTTCAAAAGAGTGAATAGCTATAAATGATGTGATTTATAGTTATGTTAAATTATTGCTATTACCCAGATAAATGTCAATTAGATATTTCTTGTGTATGAAAATCGCCTCTTGTTTTTATTATATGAACATTGTACTTTTTCCCCTTATTAAAATAATCCAAATATAACTATACCTTAATTAAGTTTATTTTATTTTGCAGTTCATATAATTAATTATTATTTTTATTTCTCTGTTAAGAGTTATTTAGTAAAGTGAAATGGAATAAATGGAGGGAAATGCATGTTATTCTATGACCTAACTTTTTGAATTTATATTTTTGGGATTGTTATTTTAAGTTACATAAGAATCCAGTTTCTCTTCATTGGCATTTGGTCAACCTTGAAGTAATTTCTGAAAATACAGGTAAATATAAATTGGCATGATTTGTTATCATTGTTGGTAGTGGAACGTTCTATTTTGAGATTGGAAGATGTGAAATTTGCTTTTTGTTTACTGGTGGAATCTAGTGTTTTTGCTCCCTCCCTATTTTTCATTTCCAGTGTCGTGTTCATCTTTAATTTGTGATTTCCTTTTAAAATAAATTCTTGATATAACCTTTAAAATTTTTGTGATGTCATGTGTTTCTGTGCTTTGAGCTGGGATGTGAAAGTGTTTTTTCTTATGTCTGATAAGTTTATATTTAAAAAAGCCAATTCAAATTAGCTTTTGAATTTGATTCCTTTTCTAGCTATTGTTTTGTGAAGTTATTCTTCATTTATTCTTGCCACAAAACTAATCAAATAACTTCTATAAGTTATTATTTTGCAAAAAATTTTAATTTTGTTTAAATGATGTATGTTTATTTTTAAAAAATTGATTATTTTCTGCAATACTACTGTTCAGTTTATAATAAATAATTGTGAGCTTTACTTCATTTTTAGAATTTATTAGTTTTATAACCAACTTGTCATTTTAACATTTTTAGAATGCTTCAGGGTTTTGACCTACATTGGTTCCAGTAACAATATCTAATATAATTATGAATGATAATTTTTTCATTTCCAAACATGAATATAAATAAATGAACAAAAAGAAAGTTAAAGCTCACTATGATTAATTATAAATGCCTGAAGACTTAAATCAAAATATAAATTAATAGATAGAAATGTCTAAGTAGTTGATTGAAAAATTATAAGGATGAAACAAAATTCCTGACAAATCCCCACATGTATTATTACAGTAAGGCTCGAAATCGGTTTTGTACCAAATATAAGCTCATTTCATGCTCAAATACCATGAATGGGGTACCGTTGGATTCAGAATTTCACGGGGGGTTAGCGAATCATAATCTCCACTTTTGTTTTTCTTTCTAAAATAAATAAAGTCGATACAAACATTTTGCTAGGCTTCGATACTGGAACAGTGGTAGGTCTGTATATGGATACGGGACAAATTAAATCTTGAAGATTTTGATGTGTACAGCAAGGCCCAGGTAGTTCCTCCAGAACTATCGGATCCTGCATTTTTAAGCCCAAAAACGTACTATTTTTGAGATAACGCAAGGCATAGGGTTCGCATCCACACAACCTTACATTAATTGTAGTACTGTCATTGAATACATGTCTCATTTCGTCGACTTGAGGTCTCTATGGTCGAGAAAGGAGGAGTTTGTATTATTTATCGATGGTGTTTTTGATCGACAAGCGATATCATTGTCAATTTTTCACCAAATCTCAAGATTGAGCCACCATTTTCGAAGGCTTCCTTCTCCTTCAGGCGGACAAAATATTCCAATCACCCCGAAAATTCAGGCAAACAAGTTATGAAAGAAAACAAACTGTATTTGCGAATAACTGAAAAATTACACACTTTTCCCTTGTTATGCCCCTGATTATATAAAAGATTACTAAATTCCCTACAAAATGGAAAAAAAGTCATCGAAATCGGACAGTTTTTAGCAAAGACACTGCTTACTGAATCTGTAAACATGTTGGTTCCAAACAAAAATGAAGATTTAAATTAATTTTTTTTTTTTGTGGATTATATTTATCGATAAAGTAACATTTGATTACTTTTCATACGTTGCATTATTTTATTTTCTTATTGATTTGGTGTTTGATAACTACATGCTGTGCGAATTTTTCGCACGGGCCTACTAGTTAATAGATACTGTCCAATTTTTTCAATAAAATAGTTTCTGTACTATAATGAATTCATTGTGGTCTTTTTGTTGATCCTGCTGAAATTTTGTAAAGAAGGTTTTAATATAACATTATCAAGTTCTTCGCGTTATTTTGAATAATTCGAAAACAAGAAAAAAATATATTCCTAGTCTCCAGTAACAAAAAAGGGTGTTTAATGATTTTTTTTTTTTTTACTTGCTGATAGTGATTAACGTTCTCACTTAAAAGTTGTATTCAATGACTTATTTAAATGTATTAAAATGAGTATTCATTATTTAAGTTAATATTGAATTTATTTTAAATTATGTTACTAAGTACCATTATTCCAAGGCAGAGACAGTATTAGTACTGCTACTTTAGCATACCCAAGGAGTTTTGTAGTTGCCTCTTATCTAGACAAACCATGGTCCAGTTCTACGAAACCTTGGTACAACCAGTTCTCCTCTACGGTTGAGAGACATAGACACTCACTGAAAATGATCTTCTGTATTCTTCTATCTTCTGGAATCTTCTAATATTTGAAAGAAAGATCCTTCGAAGAATATAAGGAGGAGTTCAAGTTGCTGGGCAATGGATAAGATGCTCTAACCGGAAATTATATGCCATATTCCCCAAGCCCAATGCCATACTGACCTTCATATTGAGCAGGCTAAGGTGGGCAGAACATGTGTCAAGGATGGAAGAGGAGGGAATACCAAATAAACTACTTAAATAACTACTGTATGGCATAAGAAGGAGAAGAAGGCCTAGATTATGATGATTTAACGATGTGATTGTAGATGTAAGAAATATTCTCGAAAAAATTAACTGGGCAAGATCTGCACAGGACAGACACAAATTGTGGAAGCTGCAGGAGGCCAGGAATCGAGACTAGGTTGTTGAGCCATGATGATGATGATGATGAGGATCATGAATGTTTGAGAGAACCTAAGAGATTATACTGTGCCCTGAGAGGTATCCTATGCACCATAAGTGGTAATGCCATGAGATACATGAATGCTAAAGTTGGTTCTGGTAACAAGGGAGTAGAACATGTAATGGGAACAAATGCCATTAGGGATCAATGAAAGTGGAGAGGTGTTTAAAAATTTCTGCTCCAAACATGACCTTTTTATCTGAAACACTGACTTCTCTCAGGAAATACCATATGATGAGTTTATTCAGACCCCAGCACCAAGAACCAGATAGACCACATCGCCATTTGCAGGAAATTCAGAAGCTCACTTTTAGATGTGCGGTACAGGAGAAGTGGTGGGTGATCTGGGAAGTGTTTCCCATCTCATTTTTAGAATAGAATTAAAATAACACTACATAGTGGGCATAAGAGTGTGGCCAGATTCAACCACAAACGGAGAAATAAGCCTCCAGACTTTGTGGGAGGAAGAAATACCAATGAAGGGATGAGCCTCCAGAGTTTGCAGGAGGAAGAAATACCGATAAAGGGATGAGCCTCCAGACTTTGTGGGAGGAAGAAATACCTATGAAGGGATGAGCCTCCAGACTTTGTGGAAGGAAGAAATACCTATGAAGAGATGAGCCTCCAGACTTTGTGGGAGGAAGAAATACCGATGAAGGGATGAGCTTCCAGACTTTGTGGGAGGAAGAAATAACGATGAAGGGATGAGCCTCCAGACTTGGTATGTAGGAATTCAAGTGGACGGATGAGCATCCTGACATTGTATGAAAAGAGAGAAGGCGTGAGGACTGAAGTCACATAAGAGAAAGAAAAAGTCAGTTGGAATAATTATGTAAAATATACTGATCAATTCTGATTGGGTAGAGAAAGATTTCAACTTCCTGTAGAGAGGAGAGAAAGATCTGTTGATCTCTGGTTATGCCAGTTGAAAATGCTACGAACAAATATGCCATGCTAAAAATGGCTTGCACAAGTCGTTACAGTTACTGTTATTTTTAAGCTTAGATCAGTATATCTTATTACCATAAAATGTTATTATTAAAAAGTATTTACAATGTATATACATATTTATAAGTTTGTGCTGCATTTTTTTTTACATTAAAGTAAGATGAAATAAAAATAGAACTTAGAGGTACAATAAGTGAGCGGTACTTGTGCACAAGTGGCAGTATCTGGTAGCAGACTTGTGAACTACGATGGGGGTGTGCGTTACACAGTCATTAGAAGTACACTAACATAAATTATATTAATTTTCTTTGTGCTGAGATTTTGGCCCAAGTTTTAGGCCTTCATGAGGACTGCTTGTTCAAAGGATATTCTGACGAGTAGCCCATTATGGGGAAAAAATTTTTGACTGTTAATTTTTATATGAGAAGTCAGTTGGTTAATTTTCTTTGTGCAGACGTTGTGGCCAAAGTTTCAGACCTTCATCAGGGCTGCTTGTTCAAAGGATATCAGTCGAGTAGCTGTATTATTTATCTACATTTATTTATGTCTTATACTTCACTACAACCATTTCTTTTTAATTATTTTGTTTTATTATTCCAGGTATTTGACATTATAATGTTGATTACAGCTATTTTAATTTTAAAAATGAAGTTTCTAATAGGTTATTTCATGAATATAATTTTATTATTTTAATTGGTTGTTTAAATTTGCAGGTCAAGGTCTTGTTGAAGACCCTCCTGTACGCCCACATGCTTTGGCAGTGCATTCATATAAGTCTCCCACATTTTGTGATTTTTGTGGTGAAATGTTATTTGGCTTAGTTCGTCAGGGTCTAAAATGTGAAGGTAATGTTTTTTTGGATAGTGTTACCTTATTAAAGAAGTTATATTTAACTTACAATAAAAAGAAAACAAATTTAAAAAAACATTAAAAACTTAGAACTTGCCAAGAAATAAACCTAACCCAACTCATACTAAGGTTAGGTTAATTTCTTCTGATAAGATTAATCTATTTGAACTACACTCCATTCAATTTATGATATATATTATTTATATCAAAGAATATATAATGCTCTTTTAATTCTTATTAAAATTCAACTATTTTATCTGTTTATTTCATGTATTTAATGTATGCTTGAACAGATAGATAATTTTATACTTGGTTTGTGTATTATAATAATTTTTATTTTTTATTTTAGACTGTGGATTGAACTTTCATAAGCGTTGTGTCGTAAAAATTCCAAATAACTGTTCACAAAATTGTGTAGATACAAAACGTTCAAATTCTTCAGCATTACATGTTCCACGAAGTACATCTGATACTGGATCAACTTCTTCTTTGATTTCTACTGTTGATGAATCTACGGTAATTTTTTTTTCTACCCTAAGAATGATTTTGTTTGTTCCTTAAAAGTTTTTAAAATTATTTATTCAACCACCAAGTAAATTTCTTGTATATGATGTGGACTAAACTATATTGTAAAAATGTTTCTTAATTTGTCCTATCATTTGTTTATAAAGGGTATCCCAAGGGAAATATTGGGGTTTAAACAGGGAAATGTCCCAAGTAAAGGAAAATTTTAAAAAAATTATAGAAAACCTCAGGAGCTACAAAAAAGTTCGTATAAACCATGAATGAAATGAAAATTTATGAATAAAAAATGTGTTTATTATCCTGGGGTAAAGTCCCTTAAGAATAAAATTGAAATAATATTATATAGTGGCCAAAACAGTGGGTCAAGACTTATATCAATATAAATAAAAATTGAATGAAGATAAAGCATAAAGGAAAAGGAAATTTAGACAGTTAACTAAAAGTACATTTAAAATAATAATAATAATAATAATAATAATAAGTATCTGAAAAATAGCACTAGAATGATGAACTCTGGGAAACATTTGAAATATAGGAGAAAGTAATTTAGTATGAAATAATATTAATTAGATTGGGGAAGGAAAAGGTGATTGAAGAGTGAAAAGGAGAGCTTTGAACGAGAAAACCGTTGGAGCATGACTGGTGATAAGTAGGGTAGAGTTCCTGAAGGAGGCATTTGTCAACATAGCAGTTTGGTGGAGAGGAGGTAGAAGTTAAAAGGATGAGGTCGGGTGGGTCAGCATTATTGGATGGAAGATTTTAATTGCAAGCTCTATAGTATGTAAAATGGTGTATGTAGTATGTAGGCTCATTTAACTGAAGTGTTATTTATAAAACTTGCTAGTTTTTTTTTTTATCACAAGCCATGCCGTGAGTCTTAGTAGAGGTCTCAATTTGGCCAGCGAGGCTTAGTGGAAGTCTCAATATTGCTTGTGGGCCAAAAAGTTTGGAGTCTTATGATCTGAAGTGATTATGAAACTGCGATTTTACACAGATCTCTATTGTAGGAATTAGTGCTTATTTATTAGTGACTAACTAAATGTTCCTAATCATATTATTTATGTTTTCATGAAAATAATTAGCAGGTTTTAATTTTTAGAAACATTTATTTACAAAATGAGTTATTAATCTTAATTGGTATTGATGTCATCTATGTCTTGTGGCAATAGGATTTTCATTTACTCGATCATGGTTATTTTTGAAATAAAATATACCATTTCTTTTAATTATTGCTTATTCAGAAAATAAACTCTACGCTGTGGAGGTTGAGTTTTCTTCCTAGAATTCCCAAATGTTTCAATATTGCATCCATGCGCAGCTTTCATTACTAATTGTGCATTAATCTTAAATAAAAGCATTAATCTTGATTAATAGTCAAGAGATGGTCATTTTAAGATTTTTATTGTTACCGACATTTTGACCCAAGCTTCTGGTTCATCATCAGGACTGAAAAAATTTATTATAACATCATAGATATAATATTATGAAACAGATAATAGTTAATAAATAGTGATGGGCTATATGTATGGATGATATGAAAATAATACATGAAATACATAAGATAGACAAATGGAATACGTGATAAGCTACAAAAACTTTAAAATAATGTACATAATCAATACAAAATCTATTGCTACCCTAAAACAGTTCCTGAGATTCCGTGATTCTATGCCCTTAAAAAAACACCAACTCCTAGTTTCCTCATTCATCTTTTCTCGCTTCGATTATGGCTGCCTTGTATACGGTGGACTGTCTGGTGGGCTTGAGATCAGATTAAAATGATTAATGAATTGTTTCATTCGATTCATCTTTGGAGTCCCCAGGCGCTCCCATGTCTCCAGTCTGTATGGTGGGTTGAAGTGGCTCTATCCAGATAATTATTCTAAGGGGACTAAATGTTCCAGAATAAAATTTAGAAAAATAAAGAAATGTAATATTTAATAAGAGAAGAATAGTTGGGGTGGTCAGTCAAAAAGGAAGGCAAAAATAAATGATAATATTTATTTTTTACATATGCCGACGTTTCGACCTGAAGTTCAGGCCTTCATCAGGGCTAAGAAAATAACCAGATAACAAGGTATGAGAAACATAAGTAATGATGGTAAAAAAGATAATAAAAAAAGAAAATAAAATAGATAAATATAAAGTAAAATGAAATTGTTAGAATAATGACTAAGAACTAAGAGATAAATAATAAAAACCATTACAAAGTGTGGAATGATGAAGTAGGCATAATCAAAAAGGGTGACAAAAGTGTTACAATGGGAATCTTAGAATAAAATGTAAAACATAAAAAAGAAATATGAAGTTATATAAGTAATGAAAATAAATAGTAAAATTAAAACATTGAGAATGGAGTAGTTAGATTTTTGAAACGTCGGCATATGTAAAAAATAAATATTATCATTTATTTTTGCCTTCCTTTTTGACTGACCACCCCAACTATTCTTCTCTTCATTATCCACGACAGTCAACCAATTACCAATTAGTAATATTTAATATTACTAACCAACTATGTTACCATACCCCTCTATAAATCATTTGGACAAAAATAAACTCTAATGTTATTTGAAGTAAATTTTGTCTAGTTTACTTTGAAACAATTGTTAGTTATTTAAATTCAATATTTTTTTGTTGAGGAATGAGATGGTCCGGGGTTGCGGTCATAAAAAGATTAAAATATTGAAAAAAACTAATTTATTTTGAATTGACATTTTGACCCAACTATGCAGGTCTTCTTCAGTGGAGTATACTTTGAAACAATTGTTAGTTATTTAAATTAAATATTTTAGTATATACCTAGTTCTGCCATAAATACTGTTACTGTACTACTAAGTTGAACTTCGTTTATATCATTGGCTAGTATTTAGGTAATCTTTACCTCTATCAGGTTATTTTCTTTGCATGTCAGGATAATGATCCCAATTAATTAACATGGAGTGGGCTGATAAAGAAAACCGAATATTTGTGATCGCCTTACACATAGTGGGAAAATGTAGGTCATAGATTTTCAACACTTTGAAATCTTTCGGTATCAGCTGTATGTTTGTGTACCGCACTATAAATAGATATAATGAGACCCTATCTGTATGTGACAGATAGAAACTCGACTGGGCCATCCCTGCACCGTTAGAACTGCAAATGCAGTGAGAACAGTGGCTGCTCGAATCAGAAGAAATTCCATTAGAAAACAACAAATCATGTCTTGGAAAATGAGAATCTCTGTCAGATCAATGTCTTGCATCAAAAAAAGTCACCTTAGGATGGGAGCATTTTGAAGAATGACAGGACAAACACTTACCACTTCCCTAAAAAAAATTAGAGTGGATAGAGTCATAGTGCTCCTTGGCTGTTACACCAATGGTCTTCTTTAAAAGATTTTGTTTAGCGATTTTTTACATTTTTACAATGAATTTTACAACATTTTTACAACAAAACTTAATCGTCAAAATGATCATGTGTACGCACACAGCTCTAAAGAAGCCTAGGAAGTCATTGGAAGAGTGGAAAGAGGTCATCACCCTTCCTCAGTGATGGCTTAGTGGGGAGTTTGCTTTTTGTGAAAAAGGAGTTAAAACAACCGCTATATACTATCAGGACAATATTTTGGAACTTGTTGTCAAGCCTCTAAATGATACTCTGTTTGCTGGAAGTCATTGGGTTTTCTAGCAGGATTCAACTCCAGCTCACAAGGCCAGGTCAACTCAGCAGTGGCTGTACAAGAATATTCCAGAGTTCATCTCTGCCTCAGATTGGCCCTCAGGAAGCCCCTGATCTCAACCCACTAGATTATCGGTTTTGGTCCAAACTGGAGAGGATGGCATGCCTCACACTCTAATGCATGCATTCACACCCTCACTTGAAAAGCCTCAAACAATCTCTGGTCAGCAGCTGAGCAATTTCCTCAAGAAGTGCTGTGTGAAATGAAATGAAATGAAAAAAATAATTTTATTCTGGTACTACAGTTCCCTAAGAATAATAACAGAGTTACATAATTAAGAACATTAGTCTGGCTTAGGTGAATACAAAATGATGCCTAATTAACTGTTGATTGTTATTGTAACTCTGCAGTTGATTAAATTAGACTTTATACAGATGCAAGTGAATTTTACATGTTTGCGGAAGTTTGAATATAGAGTAGGTGGTGGAACAGGAGTTGTTTGAAGGAATTTGTGGACGAGGATTGACATATGGAGTTAGGTAGAGAGTTCCAAAAGGAGACAGCACGAATGACGAAGGGTTTGCTGAAGGAAGTAGTTTTATGGGAGGGGATATATAAATCTATTGGTTGAGACCTGGTATTGAGAGAGTGGATAAAGGAACGTAAAGTAAGGAGTTGCAGGATGTAGGGAGGGTTTTTGGTTCTGAGTACTTGGAAAAGGAAAACACCAAAGATGAATTGTCGTCGGGAAGTAGGGTAAAGCCACTTCAACTCGGTGTACCTGAATGAAACATGGGAGCGCTTGGGGATCCCAAAGATGTATCTTATGAAACAGTTTATGAGCTTCTTTAATCTTATTTCTAGCCTGGCAGATAGCCCTCCATACACTAAGCATCTGTAGTCAAAGTGGGGCAATATAAGGGAGGTTACAAGGAGCTGTCTGGTTTTTAGAGGAAGACAATCACGGGATTGGATTGTTTAAGGATTAGGAGTTGTTTAAGGACAGTTATGGATATTCTGGTAATCTGGGAGATATGGTTATTCCAGGAGAGGTTCTGGTCAAAGGTTACTTCTAGGTTTTTGACTGTAGGAAAAATGGATGAAGCAGTTATTGACGTAAAGTACAGAAAAGTAGGGAAGGAAACTAATGAGGTGTCTGGGCCCGATGAGAACACCCTTAGTTTTATCTGCATTCAGCTTTAACTTATTTCTTTCAACCCATCTGTTGATGCAGTCGATATCCTCTTGTAGCTTTCTGGTAGCTTCAGTCATCTCAGAAGGTTATAGGGATTAGTAAATTCGGAAATCATCAACATATAGTTGGTAATGGGAATGTTGAATGGCATCAGAAAGGTTAATAATATAAGAATGGCATTAGAAAGGTTGCTAATATAAATATAGAAAAGGGCCGGAGGAACCCTGAGGAACACCTCGTGCTGATTGAAAGGGAAATGATGGAGGTTTGTCCGGAATTGCAACTGTCTGAGATCGATTGGATAAGAAGGAGAGGAGTCAAATGCTTTGGAAAAGTCAAAAAGGATTAGAATGGAGATTTCTGTTTATCTATGGCGGGTTGCAGGTCTTGGGTAATCTTTACCCAGGCAAATTGGGTGGAATAGTGGAAACGGAAACCAGATTGTAAAGGATTGAGTAGTAGAAAGTTTTGCTCAAGAAAGCAGTTCAACTGAGAGTAGACTAATCTTTCTAGAGGCTTGGATAGATTGGATAAAATGGAAATTCGTTATCCTCTTCCTTATTCAAGTCATAGTATTTAGGAGGATTTTGAACAAGCAATTCGTCACTGGTATAGGCCGTATAGCAGAAGGAATGTCAGGGTACTTCACTTCAGATTTCTTTTTTCGAGACATTCCATGATGAAGAGGAGGGGTCATGCTAAAGTAGCAGCATGATATTTCAGTTGCATTTGGAATAATTGGAGCACTTGTGTTGAACTTTGGTGCAGTTTTTAAACCTGATGATACCTGAGGAGTATTTAGTGTTGGTTGCGATTCTCTTGTATCAACTCTTTGGAATGGTAAAATTTTCAGCCGTTCATGCTGCAGTCAACTCTTATATAGTCTTCTGCTCTTTTTTGGTGTAACATAAACATACACATCCTTGTTGCAGTGTCAATTTTAACCATAGTGTGGAATTTTTTATTTATTTTGTTGAAGATATACTTTTATACATGATATTAAATTATATGAAGGTTTTGTTTTAGTTTTTGAAATAGGTGAAGTTACTTTTGTAAAATGAAGGCTGTTAATTAGATTGGCTTTGTTTTCTTGTGTTAGCATTATAATTTAATAAACATTACCTCTATTATAAATGTCCTTTATTGAGACAGATTGTAATATTTATCAATAAACAAATAAATAATAAAATAAAGATTATAAAGTATTTTTTAAATTTACTGAAATTATAAACTTATGAAATAGATTTATATCTTATGAGTTTTGTTGTTTAAATTTATGTTGTTTTTATTTGTTTTAGTCTCTTATTAAGCATGGAGGTAAAACAAGCAGATCTCCTTCCTTAAGTAGTCGTATCACTCTGAATGATCGAGATCTGAACCGTCTTATTAAAATTCCTCATACTTTTGTGGTTCACAGTTATGCCAGACCCACTGTTTGCCAAATATGTAAAAAATTGCTGAAAGGCTTGTTCAAACAAGGTATGCAATGTAAAGATTGCCATATCAATATACATAAAAAGTGTATCAGTAAAGTGCCCAAGGATTGTTCTGGAGAAAATTATCAGCCAGGTAAGGATTGCTTGATTTAATTAGAATTAAAATAATTCTTAGTTACTTAATGGTTGTCAAATTAAAGTGAGAACTGCTCTTTCCCTTTAGAAGTAACAATAGCAATACATATAATTCCTCCACATCAGGCTCAGTTGAGACAGGAGTTGTAAATGGGGTCAAAAGAAAAATTAACAATTTTTTTTGTTTTGTTGACTAGATCTTTTGCTGCCTTTACCCTTTGACTGTGGAATCTCTTACGAGTGTTTCTTCCAGATGGCGGGTCCCGAAATCCAAAAAGACGTTCAGAAAAACGAATTTTGTCCCCCTTAAATTTGTTTAGAATACAATCTTGAGTCACCCTGTAAGATATTAGTTTTCAACAATACATTTTAACCTTTTTATTTAACTTCTAATAAGTATTTGCAAATCCCTGAAAAGCAAAATAACTGAAAATGATCATAAAAATAACTGTAAGTAGTCATAAAAATTAAATTATATTATTTCTAAAAAAAGGACATCAGTTGCGGGATTCGAATTATATATTTCTTTGCATTTAACAATTTTTTCCTTACCCAAAAAAGTTCCATATTGAAACATAGCGCAGTTTTAAATTTTATTTTTGCAGTTACATTTTTTTGAGTTTTAAACACTTTTATATTATATGAAATATATATATATATATAATGTTTTTAGGTGGATGGAAAAATGATAAAAAAACTAAAATATCATTTTAATGCTGTGTATTTTTACTAATAATTTTTAATTTTTGTATATTTTTACATTTATTTACTACATTATATATATAGGGTCAATCCATTTGAAATCACCCACACCATGTTGCTCGACATTTTTGATTTTTATAATTTTTTTACCAGCTATTCAATATTTATTTGATAGTTCAAAATCGTAGTTTGAGGCTCACAGTTTTTCCTCGGCGGCCATTTTTAATTTACTTTTGACTGAAAACATCTTTTGAGAAAATACCCGTAATTTTGGTTATTTTGTAGATATAAAGCCAATATAAAATCTTAAATAATTTAGAGTATTTTTTCTACATTTCTACATCTAAAAAGATAGGAAAGTGGTTTAAAAAAATCATGAAAATAGACAAAAAAAAAAAAATACTTTTAGGACTGTCAAAGTGTAATAAAGAAAAGAGTCTAACTTTTTTCTTCATATGTAGTCCTATCAGTGTACTACTTGCCGATGGAATTTCAATCTTGAAAACCTTGTCTTTTTTTTAAATATGAATTTTAAAATATGCTCAAAAAAGTCGTTTTTGGCGATTTTTAATGTTATATATCGCAAAAGGGACTGAGTGAAAAATGATGAAACTTGTACATTTTAAAGCACTTTTTAATAAGTGCCTGAGACTTAATCGGCTCCAGAGTTATATTGTATCAATTATGTCTGGAAATTGCGTTATTCAAATGACAAATCATCATGTGAAATTGAGGCACTGAATTGGATTTTAGTTTATCATTACACAAATTCTATGGTAGGTGTATAAGTTTTTGCTGCGTTGAAAGCTATTATCACATCATCAGCTATTATAAAATTCATGATCTGACCCACATTCTGCCCTGCGATAAGATTTCACATTAATTGTACTGTTTTGCCACCTATCTTGTTTCAAGACATGATCGATTTTTTTTTTCATTACTGAATATGAATTTTTTTTTCATTACTGAAAATTCATGACTGAATATGAGAACAGCTGTGAATAGAGAGGGGAACTGCTGTAGGTAGGGAAGTCTGGCAGAAACTTGTTCCTGAAGCCCAGGTCCATTACCAACCACTACAGGAATAGACCTCAGCATATGAATGAGATGGATAAGCGATATGAATAAAACAGCCATCCGTGCTTATAATCTGGCTTCAATTCTTGAAATGGAAAAGACAGGATATAGTAGTGCACTGGAAAATAAAAATTTTCCCTAGTTACGGTTTCAGCCCTACGACAATAATGGCTTCATAAAGGGCTGTTCCTATATTGTCATACATATTTGGAGTGTTGAAATGGACTGATACTAGTTTGCAATCGATCGTAAAGTTTGAGTTATGATGACTGCGACGAGAAAAAGGCATCCAAAAGCATCAGTTTCAAGACTATATCTCCCAAGGACTCATTAGTCTTTTCAAAACCTGTCAAGAACATGGAATGCAGCTGAGAAATTATATCACCCTCAAGGATTCACAATTACTGACTACCATTATGACAATAGACAATAACCTAACTGCATTAAACCTTGCGGCTGAACTTAAAAAATCAATAACAAATGAGGAACTAATGAGGGATTGGAGTAGTAATCAGCTCCATAGTAGGTTTTGCAATGCCCTCACTTCCACAGGAATTAATCATTCTGTCTAGGTTGAATGGCTTAGAAAAGGAAAAATATTCCTGGAAAAGGAAAAATATTCCTGGAAACAAAGGGTTTTCTTCTTGCTATTCACGACTAAATAGTGGCAACTCATTTCTACCATAAGTACATATTTAATCAAGACGTTGGTGATAAACTTTGAAAAGGAGCAATTGGGTCCATTCAGCATGTAACAACTGGCTGCATAATATTAGCAGGGAAAGAATACATTACCAGACATAATAACTTGAAAAAAGTAATACACCAAAGTTTGGCCAAATATTATGTATTTACTGAGGGATCAAAACCTTATTATCTTTACACTCCACAATTTATCCTTTTTGATAAAGAAACAACCATCTATTGGAATCAACCTGTAATTATGACCATACCTTACCAAGCAATTAACCAGATATTATTGTTAGATAATATAATAGAACCAGATATACTGGTTACTCAAAAAAAGGAAAGAATGGCTGCAATTATTGAGATAGAAGTTCCTAACCATGATAATATTAAAAAAGTGGTTGCAGCAAAGATGAGAAAATATCAAAACTTCAGCGAGGAACTGAAAAAAATCTACAGCCTAAAACAAGGTTAGGTGTTGCTCTTCATCATTTTGAGCAACGGATTGGTCGCAGAGGAAATGATAAAAACTTGTTAAGAACTGGGACTTGCTGATTATATCCTAGATCAAGGTCAGAAGGCTGTACTGATAGGGACTGCCAGCATAGTCAGAAATTTTTTAAATATTTCCTAAACGGAGCCTAACCCTTGACTCATTGGGTCCGGGTAGGTGAATATTCCCAGCAATGGCTGATGAATTACAAAATTCTAAAATAATAATAATAATACCAACAAAGATGATCAGGAAAAATAAAATTTAGAAAAAGTTTATTTTTAATTAAATCATATTCCTTTAATGTTATTCAATTTGTAACTTAATGGCATTATGGAAAATATGAAGGCCTTAGACCCCTTTGCATTTGTTTGCATTTATTGCACTTCATTTGTTTCATAGCAGTTCACTTAAGTAAATCTTGGCACTTCCACTTCTAGTTAGGAGTAACAACCTTCAGGTAGCTGTCAGAGGTTGTTAAAAAGGAATGAAGGCTTACTTACCGAATCGGTTCCCCTCCCAGTGCCAATTGGCAGTATAATATCTTGTGCCTGTTTAAGTAATTTGTCATTACAAAACAATTATAGAAATTGCTTTATCATTTTTCCCCCTTATTATTCTTAACACTTTAATGACCAAGCCAACAAGTAAATTTCTCTCCATGGACTAAATTGTTTTTTTTGTCTCATAAGTTGTAATATACTGTTTAAAAAAATGTCATGCATTTTATTAAGTTTAAAAAATAAATTAACTGCGATAATTAAAAAAAAAAAAACGGAGCAGGCATATACACCCACCATTGTCCATAAAAAAATTTATTTCCTTATTTTTACCATTATTTCTTACATATACATAATCATATTTCGGTCAAATTTAAACAAAAAAGAACTGCATTATTACAAAAAAAAGGCTGTTAAAGTGTTAATATATATTTACATACAGATACTAATTTTTTTTTTTTTTATTAGGCGGTGATTTCTTGGATTCTGGTACAGTCAGTGATACTAGTGGAAAGGATGTCACTGATGAAGACAGTGATACAGATGGAAATTCACCTTCATCAGAAAAAGAAATAGGAAATAAAAATTCTCTTTTAAATGAAACTGTAATTATTTTGTTTGATATAGTGTCTTTTTTTTCCCATTTTTTTCTGGTTTTAATTTAATTATCTGGTTTTTTTTTAGCTGGAAGCCAACAATGAAAATGTTGGTAATGTTGAACAAGGAGAATCATCTTCTAACAATATACCTTTGATGAGAATAGTTCAATCTATAAAACATACCAAACGGAGAGGATCTAAAGTTTTAAAAGAAGGTTGGATGGTCCATTTTACGAATAAAGATACTATGGTGAGAAGTCTGTTATACTCCCTTTTCTCTATTTTTTTTTTATTTTGCCATGTTTTAAATTGCACTGCTTATTCACTTTTTTGTTTTGTTTTTTTGTTTTTGTTTTTTAGAGGAAACGTCATTACTGGCGTTTAGATTCAAAATCACTTACACTTTTTCAAAATGAAACTACTTCTAAATATTACAAAGAAATCCCGCTTGCTGAGATTTTGGATGTATCTGCTGCGAAAATTGTTATTGGAGGTAAACTTCTGAATAATTGAATAAACTGTTTTGACTGACCATATTCAAAAATTATTTTGATATTCTCATTAATATATCTGAATGAGATTACATATTTTAATTTTAATTCCTAATTGATTATAAAATTGAATTTTTGTTAATACCAATATATAAAATAGAGAATCATATAACAGATTACCCAATTTAATGGTTCTTAATATATTAATAGTTGATGTGTGATGAAGAAGTTTAATATTAATAAATATTAAATTTCCATTTGTTTGGTAATGAAAGTGATGTGATGTTTATATTATTTAATTGTAATTATTTTACAATCATTCAATATGAATCTATGAATTACCTTGATGGCTACACTGTTTTTACATTAGCAGACATGACAGATTAATTTCAATAAATCACCGTCTTATTTAACATACATTGTTATCTTAGGATGATAATTGTTTTACAATATTAAAGAGTATTAAAAATAGCTATTTCCTGTTCTTAGGATTTACTATTGTGATTAGAATTCTCCTAATAAACTGATTCAAGCTACCTTATTCTGTCAATCACTTTCGTTCATAAGCTGTTTTTATCCCTTCAATTTTTCCTGTTTTTAATTGTTTATGATGATCTTTATGTAATTTTTATCTGTTTTCAATATTCATCTTATGTATTCCAGTCTGGTGTTGCTTTTTCTTACTCTGGATTATTTTCAAAGGATGTGGCCTGTCATCATTCATTATTATATTATTTGAATTTTCTGGCCAGCTCTGCTTTGTGCGACTTACTTAATAGGCTTCTTTCATTTAGAATCACATAGGTCATGATATATAGTAGATTACAAAAAATTAGATGTGGTTAGTATCTTGTCTCTTTAAAAGCCCATTCCACTTAGAAGGACAGTCTTAGTATTAGTTTTGAAATTGTTTTAATGATGATCTTATTGTATCTTTAATAGTCCAGTAAAATTAGGGATTGACCCCCCAAAAAAATAAAGATAAAACTTTCAGAAATTGTTTTTTACCCTCCCTATAATAACTGGTAAAAAGTCCGACAGAATCCTGCGTCTGGTTTTGATGGGGAGAGGGGAGGGCAGAAAACTGATATTTTTTTAGTTTTTTGAGAATATTAAAAAAACTATGAGTTTTTTTGCAGAAGTTGTTCAGTACAATATTAGAGTAATTTAAAGTATCTATAAAAATGATCCTATACATTTTTTTATAGGTAAAATCAATGGTTACAGACATATTTATGAGATTATATTTATTTTATTTCCGCTTTAAGCAAAAATCACCCCAAAATCATTACATTGATGATGTTTATAGTAAACAAAACCACTTTGAAGTATAATTTGTTTTTTTAACATTTTCAATCATTGAAATTAGTATTCAATGTTTCTTTGTTTTGATGATTCTAAAAAGCAGGCCAGGTCGGCTAGTCAGCAATCGCCGAAGGCTCCCGAGAGGGGTTTCAAAATCCTTGCTTTATATTTTTCTAGTACCCTAAAAATAATTGTTTTGTATTTGTTTGTTTCCACAAATTTTTTGGGCCCCCCAAAAAAAGTTTTTTGGGAAGTTTAAGTTTCTCATTTTTTATATGAAATGAGACCATGGTTCATACTAACAGTTTTTAGGTTTTAAGGTTTATACAATACTAATTTTATGAAATCAATGTCAATCTAAAGTTTGTATCATTACTATGAAATTCCCAAAACTTAATATCGAATATAATTCTGTCATCAATAACTTTTTAGAATCATCAAAACAAACAAACTTAAAAAATAATAAATTGAACTATCGAAAATTTTAAAAGAACGAATTAAACTTCAAAATGGTTTTATCTACTATAAACAACATCATTTTCGTGGTTTGGGGTAATTTTGCTTAAAGTGGAAATAAAATAAATATAATCTCATAAATATCTCTGTAATCACTGATTTTATTAAAAAAATGTATAGGATCATATTTTTAGAGATTTTAAAGTACTTTAATATTGTATTGAACAATCTTTGCAAAAAATCTCATAGTTTTAAAGATATTCTCAAAAAACTAAAAAAATATCAGTTTTCTGTTCTTTTCTGTCTCTCCCTCCCATCAAAACCTGACCCAGAATTCTTTGAGACTTTTTACCAGTTATTATGGAGAGGGTAATAAACAATTTCTGACAAGTTTCATCTTTATTTTTTGAATGTTGGGACTTGGTTATTTTTTTCTTACTTGACTGAACTATAATGAGTATGCAATTGATGAATGCTCCATTTGTTTTGTGTGTTCGGCTTTTAATTTCTGCTTATGTCCAACCATGCTTGTGTGCTTAGCTATCAATTTCATTTTTCCTAATTCTTTAGGTTTCTTTGGTTGATTGAGGAAGGGGAAGTGGTTTTGGAGAGTTCTGGTCTAGATTTGACCTGCTTTTCGCACTTCCTTTTCTATGGTTTGTTTCCACCTCTTCCTGTACAGTCCTTGCTTTGTTTGCTAGTGGACGTATTATGATAAATAGTTAAGATGAAAATAAAAAATAAAATGTGTAGCAATCCCATATATTTGGGCAGCACTGCTTCTAAATAAAGCATTTCTCTCTCTTCTCTTTATTTGTTATTAGTTCATTTATTTATTTTTTTGGCACACGCACACTCATGCATCCGATCAGTAATTATCACTTCATTAAAAGATTCTCTTATCTTGTACATAATTTATAATATTATGAATCTATTGTTCTGTTATTTCATAAAAAATATTTATAGATAGTTAAAATTTTACCCAAAAACCAAATATAAGAAAATTAATTCATTCATAGATATATAATCATTTTTTTAAATTAACTATTTTCTTTGGATTTCCTTATATTCAATATTAAAAAAATAATAGAATGAGCCTTGTGGGTTGGCCATTCTATGCTAATTGGAGTTAGTTCAATTCCCAAATTTTCATATTAAATTTCTCTTGAAGCAGTAGGCATTAGAACAGGAACTATGGTTTGGCAGATACCTTTTGGTCCACTTAACTCTAAAATAAGTTCTTGACATTTGTCTGGTGTAAGATCAAGCATTGCTTACCACACTGTCTCCCAAGAATAACAAAGATTTCAAATCAGGCACTTCTTCCTCTAAGATGAAAGGCGGATCTACCGTGGAGGAGGGGGAGGCTTTCGGGCTGAAGCCCCCTTCCCCAAACGGTAAAGTATATTCATGTCTTATGAAAAAAATATAACAAAATAATATCTAAAAAGTATTGTTTGTTAATTACATTTAATAGGACCTTAAGAATCACTTAAACATTATTTCTTATAGGTAGTTAGTTTCTTCCAAAGTAATTATTGTTTTATATATATAAAAGCTTTCGACTGAAGTCCTCCCCAAAATTAATTCCTGCATCTGCTAGTTGGTATCTAAGATTTTCATGGGTTTTATACAGAGCAGAATCTAACAATAATTTTTTAAACTAAACTTTCAACTTGGTCGAATTTGAAAAAAAAATTATTTAAATAAAATTTATATTAGCAGACGGGGTGGGTCTTATTTGTCACATTGTCCATCATGCGTCAAAAAAATTAAAATTTGTATTATTTTGCTTACTATTTGTAAAATCAGACTCATTCCAGCTGAGTTTAAACCCATAAAACAAAATTATACTAAAAACAGGTGTTGACATCTGAGTAAAGACTGAATTATTTCTAAGCAGTGAAATGCTACAGAGGTAAACAAACATTATTGTTTGGAAGAGGATTAATAAGTTTTGATATTCATACAAATGAATAATCCTGTAAACGTAAACAGTTTGTTATATAGAAGGGTATTTTAAAGAAAACTCAAAATCCTGCATTATTTTCTGGACAACTCAATATAATCTTTAATTTATAAGACCAATCTGGTGATCAAAAAATAAGAAATTCACAAATGCAGGTTTTATTGATGTAAACATGGTATAAAATTATAATATAATAAAAATAATTGAAATTAATAATTTATAAAAATAGGTAAAAACACTGATTGCAAATTTCAATAGGGATAAAATGTCTGTAAAAATACAGAAAATAGACATAATACTAGTTAGTTATGTAAATATGATTTTTTTAAGTTTCCTGACGTGCAAACAAGAAATTTCAATTTATAATAAAAGATTAGCAGTTTGATCAATTTGTGAGTTAATATTTTTTAAATTAGATAATATATTAGATTAAAGAATAGTTCGACATTTTTGTCAGAAAAATCTACTAGAACAACAGGAGGCTTAATAAACTACATTGACCTGCACTCACTGTCTTACTGGGACTAAGGACCTGAACGGAGAGTGGTATATAAACAACCCACTTAAATTTTAATCAGCTCCTAAATTCTATTTTTTCGTCCAGGTAACATTTCTTTATTTTCTCCTATGTCTAACAGTTCTATTTCATAAAAATAATGCTTCTCAAGTGGGACAAATACTTTATTTAATGTAGAAGGATAATATTTTCCTGTGATGTGTAGGTGATATTCTTAAGGCCTTCTTTAACATTTGTTGCTTTGGAATTTTCTCTAGAGATGTTCATTAATTTAATAGATATAGTTTTTGAAAAGTTTACAGTCATGTTTTTGGGTTTCTATTATATATATATTAACTAGTTAAGTGCAATTGAGACTTTCTGCCAAGGCTATGATTGTATTAGATTTAAGCTGAAATTTCGTTGAAAAGTTAAGTTCAAAAGTACACCTTAAGGAGGATAGTTGATTTGTGGTAATAATTTTGTTATGCACTCAATAATCAGCTTATCACATAGGTAGGATAATGGTAATCATCTGGATTTGGAGCTTAGTGAAAGACTACCATTTAGGAAATTCAGGAATATGTTGGGAATTTTATATGGTCAGAAAATTCAGGAATTAGGAATTCATAGCGAATTCTGTGAAAATCGGAAAAGTAGGTATGATAAAAATATTTATCATCTAAAGTGGTAATGAAACTGACATGATAAAAAAAAAAAAAAAAAAAAAAAAAAAAAAAATTGCACTGTCCCATGATAGAATGACCAATTGACTG